GGTTGGCTGAGCAAGTGTAATCTTCGGCACAAGATCTACAACTACGGGCAAATCAGCGGAGAGGCTCGCGATGTTAACAAAAATGTAACGGATGATTGGATAGAAAACAAAACATGTGGCCTGGACTAAAGGCACGATATGAGAGTATATATGAGTGCGTGGATGACTGCGAAAATTTTTGAAGAAGCGATAATAAAGTGGGATATCAAGCTTAAAGGGAAAAAATTCTTCTGCTTGTAGACAATTGTCCTGCTCATCCTGTACTGTGCGACCTTCAAAACATTAAACTTTGTTTTCTGCCAGCAAACACGAGTGTCCTTCAGCCCATGGACCAAAGTGCCATCAAGAGTTTGAAAAGCCATTACAGGAGAAGACTTTTGATGGAATTGGTTGAGAATAATGGCAATCTTAAGCAAAACATTCTTGACGCCATCCTAATGATTAGTAAATCTTGGGACGAGGTGACGAGCAATACAATAAAACATTTCTTTAATTACGCAGGATGGCTGTAAGATCAAAGATTGACTGATGATGAAGATGACCTGCCATTAGATGTTTGAGCCAGACAGTTTGAACTTACTACCACCTACAGCGCTAAGCTACAGAGCTAAGAACAGATTTTGAAGAATTTGATGAAAATGTAGCTACAACATCTGGACTTTCTGACGAGGACATCCTACAAGCAGTTCGTGTAGAAGAAGAAGAAAACAGTGACCCGAAAGTGAAAGCAGAGCCAGAACCAGCTTCGAGCCCTCAACAGGAAATTAACGTCACTCTCAAATCTATATAAAGTAGCAGATTTTGCCGAGCCCTCAACACGCAGAGGCGTTGCAGAGCACATAGAGAAAATTAAACAGATCGCGGACGAGCGGCATGCCCCATACAAGTCTCGAACACCACGAAAGCGACTAAAATCCAGGAAATGATTCCTTGGAACAGTGTAGGATGAATCGCCTGACTATATTCCTTTTCCCAAGGTTCAATGGAACGGACAGTCCCTAGAGTAAAATCCCAAGGAAAATCCAAAGTAAAACTTGGAAAACTATAATTAGGATAAGAACGGGGGTCGCTCCAGTAAAATCAAACATGCTAAAATGTGGAAAAATAGACCAAGATGATGTGAACTGTGACTGTGGAGAAATACAGAATATGGAACATCTTCTTACATGCAGAAACTGTCCTCATCAATGTACCCTCGAAGATTTATGGCTCGCCAACAAAGAGGGAACCGACCTAGACCGATATTTGGCTGAATTTTATGAATGACATGAATTTCCGGACATGATAGAAAAAGCAGGCATTGAATGCGTCAAAAGCACTGCATCGATTCTTCATCCACCAGAAAGACGATATGAGTACTGTGGAAGATTCTATGTGTCCTCAGGACATGGTCAGGTCAGTTCTGTGGAAAGGGAAAAATTAACAGACCAAGGTGACAGACTTTTTTCGTAATGTAGGCTAAATATATTTTATAGTAGCATATTATTTTGTTATTGTACAGTACACATTTTTTAATTGTACAGTTATTTTTTTATACTGTATTGCTTATATTATTCTTTAACGAATCTATGTGGTGAACAATACAGTGTTAATTCATTTATATTCGTTTTGATACATTTTTTAAATTAAAATAGGTTATTTAGGACAGTACTATTAATATTACAGTACCGAATTTTGTCTCTCTCTGTATAACGATCTCTCCTTATAACGATGAAAATTCCCGGTCCCTTGCATATCGTTATAGAGAGAGAGGACTGTATATATATATATATATATATATATATATATTATATATAAATATATATATATATATATTAAATGGCCAACTATATGGCCTAGGAGACAAATTCGTTAAACTTCCCGTGCTCGAATTGGTATGACTAAAGCTAACTACACGGTAGTAAAGATTTGGGAGACATTCGTTTTACTTTCCGAGTTTGAATTTGTATCAGCCCAAGTGTCTGACGATGGCTGGGATAGGCCGAAATGATCATAACACTTTAGTGATACCAATTCGAGCACGGGAAGTTTAACGAATTTGTCTCCTAGGCCATATAGTTGGCCATTTAATATATAAAGCGATAGCGGCTTTCGCTAAAAGATTTAATTCTTTACATATATATATATATATATATATATTATATATATATAATATATATATTATATATATATATATATATATATATATATATATATATGTATGTATGTGTGTATTTATATATACATACATACGTACACTATCGGGCAAAAGTAGGGCAACAATTTGACAAAAAGTCCTGATTTTCCAATTCTATATACCAACAAATGTGTTTAAATTGTTGCATAAATGCATTGTTGGAGGCGACAAGAGTATTTTCGACGATCAAATAATTTGAACTTATTTTGATATAAAGTTTTGAATGCAGATTAACAAAGTATCAAAAGTAAAGCAATATTTTAATTATTTTTCAGAAAGGCAAGTATGCAGCGAAAGTAAATGAATAAATATTTTCGTGAAATTTATTTGTGAAGAGATATTCCAGTTTCAAAATACTTCTGTTCTTATGTGTATGTTTTCTCGAAGTGGAAATTTTACTGAGTTTAATTGTCCAATAGGATAATTATCCAAAAAATTCCTCGTGTACTAAGCAAGCGTGGTTTGAAGAAAAGAACAATATAAATAATAAATAATAAAATTGTGGGAAGAAGTAGAACGTTGTATTTGTGTACATGTATTTCCCAAGAAACATTTTTTGATCAGTTAAGTTTGGAAACCAGAAGACATTCAAAACTTTATTTCCTTAGTGAAACTACCTTAATGAAGGCCGAGGACACCGAGCGGGGGGTTCTTAACATCGCAGAAAGACCACAGAGTGACAAAATCGCCGAATAAGACTTCTTCATCACAAGTAGTGGTTTGAATAGCATGGAAGGATGGTTGGTATGCGTACGGTATATCGCCAAATACAACAATTTGACCTTTTTTCATATCGCACACATTGGGTGCTACCTCTTATAGTTGAATATTGGCGTAACCGTTTCGCTCTAGTATAGAGAAAGAACTCTGTAGGATCGGCAATTGAATCAGGTGGTCTTTGGTGACAAATCCCGAGGTTGCACTTCTATCGGACAAGAGTTAGAAGGCAACATGGTAAAAGTGGTGACCCATAATTTTACAGAGAATGGCACGTTCATTGTGAGAGTTATGGTGTGGGGTGCTATTAATTCTGATAGATCACTAATTTTCATCCTAGGCAATATGACAGCCCGGCACTATATTCAAGAAGTAGTTGATCATTATCTTATTCCATATCTAAATACCTTCCAAAACCCTATTTTTCAACAAAACAACGCCAAACCATATGTTGCCAGAGAATCTTTAGCATTCATGAATCAACATTACTCCAACCATTTACCTTAGCCACCACGATTGCCTGATCTGTCCCCAATTGAACATGTTTAGGACATGATAAGTCGCAAGCTCTTGCATTTGCAACACCTTCCACATACTTTAGCAGCTCTTACTCATGAAGTTGCAGTAGCCTGCAACTGATTGATATAACCCAACAGGATATCGACCACCTCAGCAAGACGATAGAGAGGTGTGTCAATAAGTGTAAGAGGAATCCGGAATCAAAACACATTGAACCAGCTTCCGCAAAAAGTTGACGAATCAAACTAAAAATTTAATCACATAACTAGTATGGGACGGGTTAAATTAATAGTAATTAAAAAAAAACGACAACAATCGGATATCTTGCAGACGCATTAGCAGACGTGATATATAAACAACAGATGATCAAATTAGCCAATCTACACATCTCCAGATGCATACGTAGATGTTGTTCTCGGACGTGTCTGCCGATGTGTAGAGGAGCCATATGAATAGTGCTAAGATGGGAATTACTATAAACGCTAAAAAACGAAGTACATGCTAATTACAAAAAGACCACAAAATATACATCACCTATTGACAATCAATGGTAACGTGATAGAACAAGTAGAAATATATCAGTACTTGGGAACTTTGATCAATGAAACCAATGATCATACTGTAGAAATAAACAGGCATATAGAGTTTGCCGGATCAGCATTTATACGAATGAAGCCACTCCTAACGTGCAAAAATCTAAATTTGGAGATCGGACTACGTACCATTCGCTGTTATATATTTTTAATATTATTATATGGAGCGTAGACTTGGACATTAAAAAATGTAATTTAAAAAGAATAGAGGCCTTCGAACTCTGGTTATACCGCAGATTATTGAAAATATCATGGATTGATAGAATTACAAATAAAGAAGTACTGGAGAGGGTTGGTAAAGAAACAGAACTAATCACCACTATACAAACCAGAAAACTGGAATACCTAGGCCACGTGATGAGGGGACCAAAATATGAAATTTTGAGACTCATAATACAGGGAAAGATTCAAGGAAGAAGATCTGTTGGCCGAAGGCAGAACTCATGGTTAAAGAATCTACGTGATTAGTATCAATGCAGATCGATTGATTTGTTTGGAGCAGCAAGTTCTAAAATAAAAATAGCCATTATAATTGCCAACCTCCGTAGGGAGACGGCACTCTACAGAAGAAGGTGTGTTTACCTTTTTTCGTTACTCAGTATAATACCTGAAATTAACAAAAACTGTTGAATATAGTTTGTTGCTTTACGTTTGTTGCATCCATTTTCTTCATTATTTATGATTATATATTTATAACTTTTTTCTTAAATGTTATATATAAAGTTTTTTGTATTTTTCTCAAACATTTAACCAGAAATAATCGGATAACCTTTTTCTATTTAAATAAAAAAAATTAAATTTTGCTCTACTTTTGTCCGATAGTGTATACAATATGAAGGTACCAATCCATTGTCGGGTTTTGTAAACGTTTTTTTTTCAATTAAATTCAATTGATAAATTTAATAAATAAACACATTTTTACACAATTTTTATTCTAATGTATTATTCTGCTAGTTTAAAGTTTTCGTACTTTTCACATTGATCTTTGTTCACAGGAGCAGCAGACAATTAAAGTAGATTCTTTAAGCACACAAATAGTATCCAATTTGCATTTGTTTCCGACTTTCATGGAATTAGAATATGGATTGGCACCTTCCTACGAAATGGACAATTTTTATGATTTGAACGTTCCTATAAAATTTTGTTATCCCCAATATTTTGATATGGATTATACTAATGAAGAACGTTCAAATGAAGAACGTTTCGAAAATTATGAAAATATGATATTGCAAACAATAAGAACCCAAAAATTCCAGTTTTCGAGAAAAGATATTGCGTATTTCGAAGACAAATCAGTTAGTTACGACTTTTTTGGCGCATTAAGAGACGAAATCGAAGAATTTTCCTTAAAAAATAATCTGACCAAAGCACGAGAAAATGAAAAAGAAAGTGATTCTGCTGAAGAATTAAATTATCATGGTCAAGAAGAAATTCAAAATAAATTATATACAGAGGAACAAGATTTAAAAATTAAAGCTTTAAATGAACTTACGATAAATCGACTGCTTTCAGAAGATATTCTCAAAGATATCACAACGATACGTACATATTCGGATGCAAGCGCAGAAGATTTGATGAAAGAATTAGACGGTATGTCAGAATATGCAGAAAGCCATCAGTCTATCGTTGCAGAAGAGGAGGATCAAGATATAAATCATAAGTACTATGACTACGAAAAAAATAGTGAACCTTCTGATTATCAAAACCATCAAGATCGATTACTTTCATCAATCACTAGTACACAAGATGATTTATCTGTTGTTAATATTAGTCGACATAACTCTCAATATCCACCATTTAAAAATAGATTTGATTACTCTGAAGACAATATAACGTCGCCCCAGTTACAACCTGAAGGCACGGCAAGTGAAACTTACTTTGAGGATAATATTTCTGCCAAAATCTGTGAAGGTAGTTATACAGAAAAACAGAAGTCTACCAATCCTTTTTGGAATTCTGACAAGAGTAGCGAGCATATTAACAGGTTAGTGATCATTTTATTTAAAAATAACCCTTTTATTTGTTATATATATATATATATATATATATATATATATATATATATATATATATATATAAAAATATCAAGGACAGTAACGGGTTACTGGTAAACAACAGACAATTGAAGGTAACCGGGAACGACCCAATACTAAGGAAGCAATAAAAAAGAGGTGCTTCAAAGTGAGTGTCTTTTATTAGTAGTCAAGCTTTCGCCACATAATTTTGGGCTTCATCAGAACTTGCTGTAATGGAAAAACATTCTTTACAATCATCGTAATTAAAGATGTTTTTTTTAATATTACCTTAACGTTAAGGTAATACTAAAAATAACATCTTTAATTACGATGATTGTAAAGAATGTTTTTCCATTACAGCAAGTTCTGATGAAGCCCAAAATTATGTGGCGAAAGCTTGACTACTAATAAAAGACACTCACTTTGAAGCACCTGTTTTTTATTGCTTCCTTAGTATTGGGTCGTTCCCGGTTACCTTCAATTGTCTGTATATATATATATATATATATATATATATATATATATATATATATACAAGGTCGTACGTCCCCTTTCTGATATGATACGTCTTGATTTCTCAATTTTGAACCAGCTGTCACTATCAAAATTTTAGATAGTTGTAAAGTATGATTAAAAAATTGGTGACAACTAACAATAATTTGAAAATTAATTGACTAACCTAATTAACTAACCTACACGCGTTATCTGATACGAATATTATTAATTTTTTACAAAAAAAAAAACAAAATATTACAATTCATTGATTACCAATAATTAAGTTAAACTGTTTTTCATATTTTGATAATTATTCATTCGTGACCTGTCTACTGATTCTTATTAGATTTCAGTTCATTTAGTTAATCATAAAATAGCATGTCGTCTCTGGGATGCGTTAAATTTGGTTAAGAATCCTTCCTTTATCTCTCCGAGTCAATCTTCGAGTTATATCACTACCTGAAAAGGTCTAACATAGGCCAAAAAAATGTAGTATGAACTAACAACGGACTTTTTACAGAAATTTGTTTCTGGAAAATAAATGTATTTTCAAATATTTTAATGACGTCTGCGCATTTGACGTTTGCTGCCATCCAAAGTAGATGGCGCACGTAATGACGAAATCGTAGAAATTGAAACAAGTCCAAATTTTCTCAATAAAATAGACGACGGCATCCGGTTACCTTTGATATGGAGACCGCTCATAAAGAAAATATCGTCCGCTCCATTCTCTAAACAAACTGCTGCTGTCCGAATATTCTCGCCAATTCCCACGCCAACCTCCACCCAAACCACGTTACTATTGACGGTATAAATGAATCGTTCGCTGTTCTTAGTTGCAGTAATGCATTGGAAGCCCCGAATAAGACATCAGAGAGGATGTCGAAAGCTCGGCGTAGTAATAATCGACGCGATTCAACTGGAAGCCTGTTGAATTTAATAATAATTCTTGTAATACTATTTATCTTAGCTTTAGATTTATATATGTACCCTGGAGGTAAAGGACACTAAATTTTTATTAAAATTGGGAATATTGCACATTTCAATAGAACTTTGCTTGGTTTACACAGAGGTAAAACATATCATGTCCAGAGAAAATTTTAGGACAAGTTTTTAATAAACACCAAGTCCACATCCAGTCAGAGGTAAAAAACACCATGTGGACTTAGTGTTGTTTACCTTTACTAAATGTGTACTGTTATTTACCATCCGGACATAGTGTTATATACCCTGGTACCTGGTGGAATTGTCATGAACTAAAATAATTGTAACCATTTTATTTAGTTCGCAATAGTGTTAGATTGTTGAAAGTTGTACAATATATCCGTTGTCTATTAATTGCAAAATGGATCCGAACTCTTGTGGGAAAAGAATACTACAATTACTGTCATGTAATATTCCTAATCAAACAACACCTACAGGTAAGCTATTGTTTAATAACACTGATTTAGTATTTTGCTAACCTCAAATATTTAGTATTGTATATTCTTTTGTATAGGTCTCAGAATTTCAGAGTAACGGAATTTGCTCAGTAAATTCCGGTCTTTGGTTATAAGGATTTTTGTGTGAACCACCTGATCCCTACAGTAACTTTCAAGTTAATGGTAAGGAAGTGGACGAAGATAATTTGTTTGGGGATGCTGATTCGCATATTAATAAAACCTATGAGCCTCTAAGTGGTGAAAGCTCAGAATCAGACGACAATGATTTGAGACATATAGGTAAACCAGCTAAAACAAAGGTAAAAGAGAAAACTATTACTACTCCTACGACTAGTGAGGCAATAACAAAAAATCTTCTTAAGGACTATTTATCCCTAAGCAGTGATGCAGGCAATTGAAATGAACATAATGAAGTTATTTTAGAAGAAGAGAAAAGTGTCAAAAGAAAGGTACAAAATGTAACTAAGTGCAAACAAAAAGGTGAAATCGTGTAGTGAATGAACAAAATTGGGCCTGTAATGTTCGCAAACGGAAAATAGCTGGTGGGTAGCTTTCCCAGTAAGAGGTGAAAACATGCCTGCAAAAATGTAAAAGTCCCCTTGCATGTGTCGCATGAAATGCACTGAAAGATTGTCAGAATACGAAAGACAAAACATCTTCAACTTATATTGCACTGAGACAAACGTTTAAGATGTTAAAAAGTAATTTATCTTCTCATGTTTCGACATCCAATCTACTCTTCGATCAAGCAAAAGGGACCGAAACTCTCCCAAATCTAAAAATAATACACTACACTACCATTTTATAGTGAACAATCAGCGATTGAAGGTGTGCAAGGTTATGTTTTTAAACACACTTTGTATATCTAATTTAGTAGTAGTGAATGTAAATATTATATTTCTTCTAAACACTCTTTCCTGTTCTTAACCTCTTCTTCAAAATTTTTAATTTGTTTCTCTTTTGGGTCATCTGTAATCTTCTCTGGTCACCTTGTTCTGAGTCTTCTTTTTTCTTCGTTTGAAGTCAGGTGTGTATAAGAGTCAGATTTTACTTGTAGAGAACTTAAATTCTTTGATCTCATTTTTAGTTGATTCTTTAGTTTCATATATTGGCCCTTTTGTTGATTTATTTGCAAACCGTATTCCTTTGTTGTTTCATTAAATTCTTAACTATCTGTTCGAGTTTCTTTGTTCCGATGGTTACCTTAAAGCTTCAGATCTAGTATTATATCAGCAGTGTGTTTTTATAACCTCTAGAATAACTCACTTTGTTTTTTAATGGTTTATAAACCAAAAAGTATTATTTATCAAATAACAATTATTGATAAATTAATTAAAAAAAATTCTTATTTTTTAATAAGATACTTAAATGCCTTTTCTGCGTAAATTTACAGGAAGTTTTTTGATTACGAAGCAATTGAACTCACAAAATCTTGTTTGAAAGATTATAGGGGCTAGATTCTTTCGTCCGTAGGTGCAATACATACTTTTCACACAATATCGCAACGAACAGAAGGTGGCGATTTTTTCACCTAATCGTTAAAAAACAATAACCCCCTCCAATTTTTCTTTACTCACGGAATGAGACATGAGAACGATACACGGAATGTATATTAACTTTCTCAACATTTTCTTTTAACAACAAAATCACGGTAGTAGCTTCTGTAATATTTCTTATACGTTATTGCTTGGTTCATTATCAGTTGAATGATAACTAAAAAACGTTGATAACAAATCAGCGACAACTTCGTAAATAATCTATCGACAACAACCTATCGTAAATAATGTGACTTTCGTTTAAAAGTTATTTAAAACGGCAAAATAAAGACGTTTCATATCAGAAATTTTGGGCTAGCTAAAATATTGTGGGATATTTTTATAATCAAATTTAACCTTTTAGGCTACATCCAACAAATCCCTTTTTATATTTTCTCAAGGACGAAGAAGAACATTCTGATCAAAGGACGCTTGATGTGTCTACTTCAGTGTCCTCTAACAATGAAGTTGAAATTCAAAGAAGATTGAATGCGGTGGTTAGCAGTGCAAATTCCGTCTTAATGACTACAAATAATCCAATAAAGACTAAAAATACAAATGTTTCTACTGCTTGCCAAACCAATAGGAACAGTGCTCAATCAAGTTTAGACGTTAATGCTATTCCATTTTATCCAGCTTATAATTGCACAGTTCCAATCAATCCATTATGTGGATATAACTTCCCTGTGTATGATCCCACTGTTTATTATAACCCTTATTATCATCGAACGCCAGCTTTTATGACACCTTCATTTACGCAGTCGTTCGAAATACCCACCAGTTTCAACACACCTAGATGTCCTCCTCCTCCGGGTTTTACACCGAAGTAAATGTAATGAATTGGTGGAATTTTTCCATCATCTTCAACGGTGTAATGACAGTTTTAAAGAACTCAAATGGATGTACCTATGTGTACATTGGAGTGTCTTTTTTTATTGGCTACATATATATTCAAGACTATTGCAGTTTTGACTGTATTCACGGTCAGTCTCCTTAATTATTTTTTTTTGTACAATTATTTCTTTTAAGCGCTTGCTACATTCCAGTGATTAAAATAGCTTATTTAGTTCTATTCATGCATTTGAATCTCGATATCTAATTATCTGATAATATCTGTTGAGTTATGGTATTGACTCTAATCCTTGCAACAATTCAGATCTTACACCGAGGATTTCCAAAGTAGAAAGATTATTGATGTCACTAATTTTAATTCAATGTTAAATTTTTGATTAAAAGCTTTTTCATTTGATTGAACTTTAGATCGTTCATCCATTTCACTTTCTTCAGTGCAATAATTGTGTCAGTGATTGCTACACTTATGTTCAGCGTTATCGTAAATTATAATGATGATGCCCTCAATGATGTTTCTAATGTTTGTTTTAATAACATGTATAGTTCCTAAGTAAGTCTTTTGATATGTGTGATCAAACTAATGCTCATGATAATATCCTCTTTACTATCTTTGGTGAATTGACTTTTTACATTGTCATCATCAAATAAACATCAAGATGTAACGAATCTCAAAGGATTTAGTCATACTAAACGCCCATATGACACAATCAACAATGTCTACAAAGGAGAAAGGACGGTTTACGCTTATAGTTTTACTCACTTGTTATGTATAAAATTTTATTTTATTTTTCAAACCTTTGTGCCTTGTGTTGATGTTAAATACTACCTCTGACGTGCGTGTCAATAATGTTTGCCATCATTAAATTCCTAAGACTTAACAGTATGTAAATATGTGATATAAATACAAAACCCCGATATACTTTCTAAATATGATAAAATAATGAATATCATAACACTTTTGATATGTAATGAGTGTATATACCACTGCTCTGAACAGTCGACTTAACCAATAGTTACCAGTTTATTCAGTTTTCATGAGAAGTTGATGTTTTCATTATGTAGCTAATATTAGTATTAATAATATCTGAAATATGATATGTATACGATGAATGTTTATATAATATTCGCAGGAGCTTGAAATTATAAAATACATAATTATAAAAACGTAAAGTGATCCCTTATAGCTACGCCGATTAAATTAAATGTATATAAAATTCTGTAATTTGATGGAAAGACAATTATGTCGATATTTACACTATTTCACGAATGCAAATTAAGTTTCGAGACTTTATTCGTGGAAACACTTCAAATAGAAAAGAAAATCACACTGAGAGCGGATTGATCCATTGATGCGCAAGTTTTGGATTTTTCCCGTCAAAAATCTAAAGTTCTGAAAGGTACTTGTTCGTCTTGTGTACTTCAATTTGACAACCCCATATTCTTCTTTGAATCTCAGCCACTTGCTTGTTAACCATCACATTTTTCCACGTTTTATAAATTTATGTTTACCCCTAACTGACTACGCAAGTCTAGTCACGGGGCACTGTAGTAATTATAACATTATAGGCGAGTATGCCCTTTTAACAAACTGTTGATGTTAATATCATATTAATGTTTTGTTTCTGACGATTGCATGTATCAGAATATTTTTTAACGTGTTTATGCCTGAAGAGCTGTGGTGAAACTGCATCCCCATATTTTAGTCTATTGTTTATTCTTTATTTGACATCGTGACCTTTCCATACACATCCGTATCGCTTGAATCGCTGTCCACAGTCTATTCTGCATACTCATATCAAATGCGTGTTTAAAATCTACGAACATTTGATGAAGCTAACGATGAAACTACCAGCATTTCCATTATCTGTTTTATTGTAAATATCAGGTCAATAGTAGAGCTGCCCGGTGTAAGGCTGCATTGATAATTCTCAATGATTTCTTCTGTATATGTTTTGGTTCTTTTTAACAGAATTTTTGCAAGGCCTTTATATGTGGTATTTTGGAGCCTTATTCCTGCTAGAATGATCATTTAACGGTTGATAGAAGTATTCCTTCCAGGTTTTTAGGATTTCCTTGTCCTCAGTAATAAGGTGTCTGCTATCGTTTTGAAGTTTTCTGTTCTTGCTTGGTACCCGGCTTTGGTCTCTGAAACTCTTAAAGAATTTTTTTGTTCATTTTATCATTAGTTTTTTGTTTCTCTTCTTATCTGTGTATACCTTTCACTGTTATTGTGCGAGATATTTTGTAGCATGTCCCTTCTAGCCATGTTTCTATCTTTGGATTTCAGGCAATCGTTATCGAACCTTTTTTTGCTGTTCTCTTTTTGTGTCGTAATATTTCATCTGATACGCTTGTCAAAGTTAATTTTATATTATTCCAAGGAGAGCCTATGTTGTTATAATCCTATATTTGTGTTAGCGCTATCTGTATAGCCTTTTGAAATTTCTGTTCAGTCTCATTATGCCTCAGAATTTGGATATTCCATAATGTCGTTGGCTTCTGGATTGTTTGGGACGCTATTCTTGTTATCATCTTCGTTTTTTACCAGAAAATGATCCATGTCATCCGACCCTCTTACGACTTCTTACGTCCAAGCAGTTACTATTGCTCCTTGCATCTACCAAAACGTGATCAATCTGATTTCTTGTGACGTCGTAGTTGGAAATCCACGTTTCTTTGTGTATTTTCGAACATTGTTCATTTTATTAGTAGGTTGTGGGATGTAGGTTCCATAGTGAAATCTTAGTGAAACTTCTTGATCGTGTAATCACACTAGTATAGCACTTGTTATCATTTTTTCTTTTGTAGTATAATAAATTCATCTTTCTAATCGGTTCTTGAGAATATTTCATCATGCCTTTAATAGAAACTTAGCTTCTAGTGCTATTTTTTTTTGAAAAACCCAAAAACTTCTGTTCAGAAGGATATTTTAGAATCTGCTGGATATGTTCTCGTCACATACGTCACGTTCACTTCGTCTAACAAAGCTTGATTTATATCTCTGCATAAATGGGATTCATCACTGAAAATCGGTATTTTTTGGACATGCTAAGCGTTTTTTCATCGTTTTTTCAATTTGTTGTTAATTGTTTTTTCTTAGCTTTTCTTACCTTCCGGCTATTTTTCAGAAGACTTTTCCGCACAGTTACCGTACTCACTTTAACACCATTTTTCAATGAATCTCTTCGAAGGCCTGTGCTTGTGTTTCTTATATTTTGTTTGCTAGTTCTTATTAGAATTTTATCAGTTCTTGGAGTTGTTTTCTGTTTGCGCCCATATTTTCCTTTTCTTTTTGGAGACAAGAGATGATTCGGAATCTTGAAATGTTCTTAAAATTTTTGAAACATTTGATTTTCCCACACCAACTGCGGTAGCTGTATAACTCACAATTATTGACGTCTGTTCATTAACAGCGATTACTTTAACATGGTTCGTAAAATCTATGAATAATCAAAAGTAACACGGAACACAACATTATAACCACCGACTGTCACGCATAAAAACTCACAACCGAACTACTGACACCAGTCAAACAAGTAAATTTTAGTCAAGGTTGATCCGTTACATTGCCTCCGGGCATATATTACCGGTTTGTGGCGGTAATAACCTACCTACTAACTCAGACCAAAAAAACATGTTTTTCGCAATTAATTCGAATAGGGTAATTGGTTTGCGTTATCTCTTCTTGTATAATAACCCTCGTGTCATGGGTGGATATCGCACAATTTAATCTCTTTTTGTTCTTAGATTAGCATACTTAAAATAATATGCTTTTCTCTTAGATCAGGATGCAGAAGATTTACTCGATTATACTCAAGCCGTTTAATTTGATAAAAAGTTAAATACTATTATCTGAGACCTAAATTTACCGATAATGGTCTCATGATTACTATGTTATATTTCATGTATGGTCATTATTGCAAAAGATATTAACATTTATCAAAAAAATACAAACAGTTTTCCGCCGATATCGGGTGGGTATTGGCTGAATGCACAACTTCCATCTCAAACGGTCATCCATGATAGTTGAGTCAGTGGGTAGCTCCATTGCTCTTAAATCTGACCATATGTTATCTCTCCACCGCATTCGTGGGCGTCTCAAAGTCTTCCTTTTGGATCCTATGGACATGTCAGCCCATCTTAGGCGTGGGATTTAATTTCTTGGACTACATCGCTAGCGTTATATATCTGTTTGACCTCGGCTTTTGTTTTCATTCGGTATTGGTTAGTATTTGGATCGTGATAGGATCAAAAGATCCTTTTGACAATTTTTCTCTCAAAAGCTCTCAGTTTTATTTCCATTGCATTCTAATTTATCCTATCCTGATTTTTGAGGTTCATGTAAGGCTCTTGGATTTAATAGTGTTGTGGAGGCTATACATACGTGTTTTCTGCCCGAATCCTCTCTTTTATAGATCTTTTTTTATTTGAAATATAAAAGATCGATATAAATCTCTAAATGTCTAAATATTGACATGTTTTTTTCTTACTATCTACCTACAGAATTAATAGTCTGATCATTATAAGAGTCAATGCAATAGCTCATCGTACTTGGGGATTTACTACAATGTGAATATTCTAGGGAGGTTAAACATAGTAGCATAGAATCCGGAGTCATTTGCAACTTTGAATTGAAGTTCGCATGCGATTTCAGTTTTTATAGACATTTCTATTGTATAAAGTTCAAAATTAAATATGTGTGACTATTAATTTACAAAGGTTTAGTCACTTTTGTTTTGTAATAGCTCATTCAAAATTCAGTATAACGAATAAATATTTTTAATTATACAGCTATCGAAGCGTGTCTTAGAGTTCCTAGCTCGGCAATTATTATATACATTTTTCGTCTTGTGTTTTTCGTTTATGTTATTCTTATTATCATTGATTGTAAATATTTTTTTTATACTAAATTAGTAGTTTTGTTATTCAACGTGTAAAAATAACCTTGTTTCAAAGCAGACATGTTCTGCCAGACTTA